ATCCATACCATTAGCAAGATACGGAACATTTCCATCACCCCAAAGTTCTCTTAGGTCCTTCACACCTAAGAGCAATCGCTTTTCTGATTTCCTTGACCATATATTGGTTTAAATGAGCCTAGAATTTCCTACACGTGGAATTAGAAAATAGACATTCTTTGGTGTCGGGCTTCTTTTGCTCAGCATTTTGTCAGGATTTCGTCCCATTTTATCACTAAGTAGAGTTCCACTCTATGCACCGACCATCCATGCTCTCACTGGTGGACATTTGGGTTCTTCCCAGTTTGGGGCTGATGTGCATAAAGCTTCTGTGGACATTCTCGTACAAGTCTCCTTGTAGACACATATTTTCTTTTCTCTTAGGTGGAATGCACGGCTCAGAGGGTAGACACGTGTGTAACTTTATAAGAAACCGCCAAGCTATTTTCCAAAGCGGTTGTTCCTCACACTCCCACTGGTCACGTGTGAGAGTCAGTTGCCGCACACACCTGTCAGCATTTGGTGTTGTCAGANCTGACTGTAATTCTCATTTCCCTGAAAACTAACGATGTTAAGCGCTTTTTAGATATCATCTTTTGTGAGGTATCCATTTAAGTCTTTTGCCCATTAAAACATCAAATTCCTTGTCCTTTTATTTTTATTTATTTTTTATTATTTGTAAGAGTGCATATATTCTGGATACAAGTTCTTTATTTTGCAAGTATTTTCTCTCAGTGTTGAGGTTTTATGGTTCGTTTTCCCATGGTATCTTTTAAAGAGAACAAGTTTTGGGCCGGCCCGTGGCTCACTCGGGAGAGTGTGGTGCTAATAACACCAAGGCCATGGGTTAAGATCCCCTTACCGGTCATCTTTTGAAAAATAAAAATAAAATAAAGAGAACAAGTTTTAAATTTTGATGAAGTCTGATTTGTCAATTTTAAAAAAATAACTAGTGCTGGGCTGGCTGGTTAGCCCAACTGTTTAGAGCATGGTGCTGATAACACCAACGTCCAGGGTTTTATCCCCATACCAGCCAGCCACAAAAAAAATAAAAATTAAAAACAAAAAATAAACTAGTGCTTTTTAGGTACTATCTAAGAAAACTTCACCAGTCAAAAGATGGCAAAGATATTCTCTTGTGTTTAATTCTAAAAGCTTAATCATCTCCACTTTTGCATTTAGGTCTGAGCCAGCTCAAATTAATTTCTGCGTGTCATGTGAGTTGGGGGCCACGGGTCTTTTTTTATCCATACAGATAATCAGCTGTCCAGCATCACTTATTGAGAAAACTTTCCTGTTTCAGATGACTGATTTTGGTGCCTCTGTCAAAAATCAAATGACCATGGGCCAGCCCGGTGGCGCACTGCGCTAGTGCGCCGCTTGGGAAGCGTGGTGGCGCTCCCACCGAGGGTTCGGATCCCACATACA